TTATTTACTTGTCTTATTTTTTTTTTTGGCATATATGATGAACATAAATGAATTATATAGGTAAACAAGAATCCAGATGAACATCATTTCATTTTGTAGCTTCATTCTCATTCTGGTGATTCTGAGTGCATTAATTTGAAGATCAATAGAAACCAGAGCTTATGACATGCATTTAAAAGTACTTAAAAATGAAGGTAAAAATTGAGATCAAAATCCAGTGGCATACAAAATCTTCTCATCAGTCACCCTCTGACAAAACCTTTATCACGAGACCGAAAATTTTCTATCTTATTGTCACTCGTCACTGAATCCTAAAAACCTGTTAATAAAATTTGCAACGGGAGTAGCATCACCGGGTTCATAGTCCACAAGAGAGCCCAAATCCATTGAAGATATAGTCTTGTAGAGCGTCTGGGGATGAGCGCAGAACAAATGCTTTCTTTCAGCTAATTCTTCAGCCAGTTCACTTTGATGATTGTCCATTAAATCCTCGTTAACTACAACAATTAGTGGTTTCTTAAGTCGCAATGTCTCAAATATGCTCCCTGAACCTGGAAATAAATACATATTCAGATAAAATGATACAAGGCAGGCATATATACGCACGAGCTTTATTTCAAACGGGAATAATAATCAACGAGGAGATGGCAAATGATAATCATATATATGCACGAATAGTTTATGTTGACTAAAAACAATGCTTAACTTCAATTTAATCACAGCATAAATCCAGAGTTGCCAACCAATATTACAATATTCCACGACATGTGTGCAGTAGATCTCAATTGGGTGGTGTTTGTGTAATTTTAAGTCGAGAGTTTGTAATTATGAAAGATAACTAGGGTTTTTCTAGTTAAAAGAACCTTATATATTGCTCTTGATATTGTAGCTATATATACAAAGCCAGCAATTAATGGTGGATTGAGCAAAAGAGACCCATAATTCTCATCATTTGCTTTTTCGATTTTTTTTTTAGTTACACCCTCCTTTCTCACAGGATGAGTACCAAAGGAGTAAAATGAAAGTGATGACATGAGTTGTTGAGGAAGACAAAGAAACTTTACAGAAGTATATTCAGTGCATGAATAATATAACTAACCTGCATGACTGATTACAAGAGATGCCGACTTCAAATAATCAGCTATGCTTGACGAAAATGTAAAATAATCCACAGACACAGACCCATCTCCTCCGGTCGACTGAAAGTTAATGCCAGCTAACTAAATTTGTTAAACTGAAAGAAAAAGGAGTCAAGCATATGTAAAAGTGAAATAAGTTGCGCGTAATAGTGCTTACGTGACTTTCTCATCTCCACACACAGTAGCAGAAACTATCACTCTAACATCATTACAATATCTTGTACCACTACCACATAACATTTCGACCTATTCCATTTCACAGGGTTATAAGGCGACTTGGCCTTTAACTATACCAGAGAGAGAGAGAGAGAGAGAGAGAGAGAGAGTTTCGAATTCAGCTGGTTAAGATTAACTCATAATGCATAGATTAGCTCATAATGCATCTTAAATACAGAAACAATAAATGCTTTCAAGAGGCAACAAAGTTTATCTACTGTGTTCATGGGATTACAAGGCACGAGTAGAAGTACTGGTTAAATTGATGCATCACAAGATTAGCTCTGACTAATTCGATGCTATGTAAAATTAAAGAATGTGAGCAGTTCAGACATAACAGCACCAGGATAACAACTACAAGAAGTTGCCTATGGCTGAGCTAAAATGCATATTATCTCTCCTATTTTACACCAGTGTTTTCAAGATCAAGGTTTCAAGTACCATAAAGATGTGTAACCTCTTGTTCTGTTTTCACTTTTCACCCCTCCAGAGAACATAATATAGCTTTCAGATATAACTTTCAAAACCGAACCGAACTGGATGCAAGGAATCCAATCAAAATTTCAACACGACCTAATCACCAAATTCAAACAACAAAACAATCATAAGAGCTCCAATTCACCTTGGTGGGAATGTAAGAACCCCGACCCATTTGAATAACAAGATCCGTATAACCCTTCTTGAACAATGCTTCTCTAACCTCCTCCGTATCCACGGCTCTAACCAAAGAGTCAAAACAAGTTGTTCCAACAGTCACAAAAACTATCTTCTTTGACCTCAAACTACCAACAGCCTCGAACATTTTGTATTCCCCAGTTCTCCGATCAGCTTCTCAGAACAACTGATGATGAAAGACAGAAATCTTTCCTAAGGATATTAACATACTGCAAAAGAAGCCGATGGCTTCATCAGCAAACAATCATTTTCAAAGTGTCCATTTTTGCACAGTTCAAGACCAAAGCATTCATGCAAAACATGAAATAACATCAATAAATTAGACAAATGAATCTTAAAACAAATTTTTTAGCCTTCAAAAAAAATATTAAGCGCTGAAATTCAAACTACCCCCCATTTTGATTCAATCTTCTCACAGAAAGTCCCAGCCAAGGTAACTTAAAATTTTTCAATAAATTGAATCGAAAGTAGAAAAAGAACAAGGAATAGATTCTAACTCAGGTATGCAACATAAGCAGAATTTTTTCACAAACCCACAATTTCTCAACGACCAATATTTGCAAAACAAAGGGTTAGATAAATAATTATGCATAAACTTACAGTCAAAGATGAAAAAAAAAAAAAAAAAAAA